ATGCAAGAGGCCGGTGATCCAGTTTCAGTTGGTAACTCCAGCTCTGCACCGAGCGTCAGCAGTCATGAGGATGGCTCGAGATTATTTGAATAATTTTGGGAAGGTGAAGAGTTAACCGAAGCGTTAACGGGTCAAAAGGCTAGCGGCAGTACTGAGTGTTATGGGCAACTACAGTTTAGGTCATGCAGAGAGCATTAGTAGTGTGTAGCTCAGAAAAACTAACGGCTATGAAGCACTACATGACCTTGAGTGTTGTTGCAGGCTAGGAGTTCAGCAGACTAAATCTAACTCGTTAAGATGGCGGAATAGGGTAAACAGTTTACTAGCATTTCCGAGCAGAAGTCCAAAAGGTTGGGATGGGGCGTTCACTATTGGGAAAATAATAGTTGCGGCAGTGCCATCGAAAGTACTACGACAGTGTTGCACCCGCATTGAAACGACACCATTCAGTTTCTGTACAGCATCGTAAAGGACGTTCTGGCTGATATTATCAAACTGGGGAAAGCACTTTTACGCATCAGGATTCGGGTTTGTCAATGGTCACCAGCATCATCATCAACGACAGCATGACATCAGTGTTCAACACCCATGCTTCATTGCCGTACAAATTGTTAATGGTATTAACACATGTATATTCAGACATAGTAACAGTTACTTTGGACCAGGTTGAACAAACATGTGGACGTAAATCAAGGACGGGGCAGAATGGGCGATCAAAGTACGAAGCAACTACTGCCGAAGCTCGAAGCCTAAAGAGAAGATAAAATTGGAGCAGACGAAAAGAACCTGATGAATGCGGGAACAGATCGAATAAAACTGTGTCCAGTAGTAGGGAAAAATATAGATCGGAATGGCAGAAATTCCAGAAGTAAACCTAAACATGGATAGATTCGTTCTTGCTGACTTGGCAACCAGGGGCTGTCTGATGTTTCAGATGTGGTTTAAGGTGTAGGATAAACCACTGTTAATGTACCCCAGCAAGACAGCAGAGCATTACACTCAGATAGCAATGCAAGAGGCCGGTGATCCAGTTTCAGTTGGTAACTCCAGCTCTGCACCGAGCGTCAGCAGTCATGAGGATGGCTCGAGATTATTTGGGTAATTTTGGGAAGTTGAAGAGTTAACCGAAGCGTTAACGGGTCAAAAGGCTAGCGGCAGTACTGAGTGTTATGGGCAACTACAGTTTAGGTCATGCAGAGAGCATTAGTAGTGTGCAGCTCAGAAAAACTAACGGCTATGAAGCACTACATGACCTTGAGTGTTGTTGCAGGCAACCCCCGGTAAACGTGCTCACGTGCCCAAAACTAATGAGCCCAACATAACATCACGAGAGATCCATAATCTAGGTTATTCTCAATACTGAAGTACACTCAGATCGCGGTGTCTGGACGACACACGGCAATCGCCCACACGGTATGCCTACATCGATTTTCATTCATTCACTACCACGAGAATGGTTGATTTTCTGCACCGCAACTTCACCTCTACTAATCGATTGAATAAAAAAAATAGCAATTCATCCACTATCTGCTGCAGCCCGTAAAGCCTAATTTCTCTGGCTACTCGGATTTAAGCATGAGGAAAATGCGCTCAGATACGCAGTTCCCTCGTGATATAGCCGGCTCCGCTACCAGCGACAATCTCGCCCGAATCCCATCCAAATAAAAAACATCATTATATGTCTATGGGCTTTTCCAGGCATATTCCCACACCCAGTCTTTTACAGGTGTTGCAATCCAAGCAAACACTCCCCGCACATGGTTCCGGGTCCGTCTAAACACAAAAATACTTTCACGGTAGCCATTTAGTTTTTGGAACAAACTTCCAAAACTGGCACCTCTGCCCCCACTGAATCATTTCAAATTCCCTTGCTGCAAAATTTCCTTTCGGAGCTCCGGCTTACTTCATCGCTGATAGCTATCCATCCCCCTGTATTACGCCATCGCCGACTTCCATGGATTTGCCACCGCTACATGCGTACGTCCATATTTCCCTTACAGCTGATTCTCACCGGTTTATGGTCCCTTCCTTCACGGCTTCACGGATTGATACACAGGATCGAGGCTTTTGCCCAAGTTTCCCGGGTCGGTTTTGTTCTTGTCGGTCAGTGGCTGTCGTTCACCTGAAAGGCACAAGTGAAAAAAGGGTGTAGCACTGCTCTTTATGTTCTCAGCGCGGGGCAGAATGCTCGCTAGCGCGAGGATTCGCATAAATAAATCTCTAATAGTGCTTTAAATTGGGTTCGAGAAGGAGCATG